CAAGCCATTTGCCAATGCACAACAGTTCAAACCAATGCACTGCACATCAGCGACGCAACGCAAGGACCCCCTAGGACTGCGAAAGAAACAGAAGCCAGGACCCCCCATGCAAACGATGCAAAACAAAGCAGGCGCAAGCCAATCAACGCCAATGCACTGTAAGCCAATGCCAACGCGCCGATGCACAGCGGTGCAAATCAGCGCATATCGAAGCAGACCACAGCAGGGACCCCCCCTCCAGAGGAACCGTCAAGGACCACCCCAGGACCCCCCGAGGATGCCCCGAGGAGCCCCCCTGAGGACCCCTCCGAGAATCTGGCGGGGCACGGTCCGCGTCGTCGCCTGGCCTTTTCAAATTTTCGTTTTCATTGCCCTGTCGTCGAGTTCGCCTGGGTGTGCCTTTTCGATCGCCCTCCTGAGGGGCAACGGATTCCTCCTTCTCCTCCTCCTTGGTGTTGAAAAGAAGAACCCCCTCAGGCTAGGAAGGCCTGACCGGAGGAAGGGGAGGCATTCGACGACGACGATGGCGGCTGTGGCGGCGACATCGACGTCGGCGCAGGTCTGGGAGGTTCTCGCCGCTATGATTGAGCGCGGCTCGGCGAACAATCCAGCAGGGACCCCGCGAGGGGACCGAGAGTTGTTCAGGCGGCGGCGGCGCTTCTAAGCCGAGAGCCTCGCCGAGAGGCTCCTCTACATGAAATGCTCAAGGTTGCGCACAGACAGCCCCCAGCGAGCGTTTTCCTACTCGTTCCCGATACGCGTGCCAGAAGCCTTTCCCACAGCTCCTTCGAAGCTCCTTGGGAGTTCTTGCGAAATCATGCGAAACTTTTTTCTCAAGCATGCAAGCTCCCCAGGCATGCTTTCCAGCGTCTTTACAAGCGTCCCCATAGGCATGTCACGCGCTTGGGACCGCGTAGCTATCCGGGTTTTGGACGCTACAAATTTTGCACAGGCAGCTCCATAGGGAGTCTAGGCCAGCCTCCACAGGCGCTCGGGGTGGTCTGGGTGGGTATCAACACCCAAGTCTCCGGGGCGCGTCTGTCTCTCTCTCTCTCTCTCTTTCTATTCATCTCTCCCTCTTTCTCTCTCTCTCTCTCTCCTTCTCTTTCCCTCTTTCCATAATCTATATATTATATAAGACAAAAATGAATACCGCCCCCCCCCGGCACCAGGTCCCACACCTCCCCGCGACATCTCGGGAACGCTCCCTGTACCGCTCCCCCGGCCTTTCCGGGGAGCCTCCACAGCGCCCCAAGAGAGCCCAAGACGCCTCCCAGTAGCCCCCAGAATGCGAAATGATGGTCCAAGACGCTCCCAAGCAGCCCAACTCAGCCTTCCGACGGCTCTTGAGGCTCCCAGGTGGCCTCCAAGAGACCCCAAGAGAGGTCCGAGAGGCGTCCCGGGACGGCCCGAAGAGGCCAAACTCGCAGATGTTCATCGTTTTGTTCCCATGTCTTTTTGGGGGGCTTCTCGCGTTTTCGAGCTTCCAATTGTCCAAGAGCGCCGAAGAGGCTCCCAAGACCGCCGCAAGACCATCCAAGGGAACCTCAGGACGGCCCCAAGACGGGCCAGGAAGGCTCCAAGACTGCCGAAGAGGCGCTCAGGACAGCCCCAGACCACCTCAGAACAGGCCCAAGATGGGCCCAAGAGCGGGAGCAGGAGGCTTCCAGAGACCTCCGAGAGGCCTCCGGGATCCCTCCAGGGGCCCCTAACACACCCCCGATCCCTGAGAGGCCCCCAATCGGTTCCGATGATGCTCCAAGAATAGCCCAAGAGAGCTGCGAGAGCCGTCCTGGGAGAGCCCAAAGAGAGTAACATCGTTGATTTCCAATTGTTTTTTCCAATGTTTTTCGCTTTCTTACTTTTTCCCGCTCCCAACCGTCAAAGATCGCGGATTTTGACAAAAAAGGAAATCCCCAGAATTTCATTTTTTCAAAATGGGGTCCTACACATCCCCTGACATCTGGCCGGTACCGCGCCTCCCGGCTTCTTGGGGAGCCCCCAAGACGCCGAAGGACAGCCCATGACGACCCCAAGAAGCTCCCAGAACGTAAAGAAGGGCCCAAGATGCTCCCAAGCAGTCCAAAACACCCTGTGGACGGCTCTCCAGGACTCCAGGAGGCCTCCAGAACCCCCAGGGAGTCCAGAAGATCCCACACCCCTGAGGGGCCCTGCTAACAAAACCCGCGAGACCAAACAAAAAACAGCGCCGAACAGCGCGGAGAAACTGGAAAGATATGTAAATCCCACCATTCCTTTTTTTTCTCAAGTTTGGCCCTCGGTCTACTCTTGCAGAAAGACCAAAATTCAGACTCCCCTCACCTCCCCAAAAAGAAAGCCTTTGAGGGCCCCAAATCGTTGAATACCTACAGGAAATTAATGACTTCTGCGTTTCCGCACTTCCCCTTCTATACGATTCCGAGGCTTGCGCAGGGTCTCCAAGGGAGCCCCTGGACGCAAGAAGCGACCAACATGATATTCCATAGTTAGCCTATCAAGCCTAGCTAGAACTTGAGCGCGCGCGCGAAGCGCGCGCGATGGTTCTAGTCTGTGTCTACTTTTAAATAATATATAATCAGAGAGGGAGAGAGAGAGAGAGAGAGAGAGAGAAAATAAAGAAAGAGAGAGAGAGCGTTCCAGAACAGGCTTTGCCTTCGTGGGATCTAGTAGTTGGCATCTATTCTTCGGCGGAAGGCGGCGGAAAACCGCCGGAAGGCGGCGGACGCAAAAGGGGGGGCGCTTCTGCCTGAGAAATCCAACGGAAGGCTGGCGGAAGCCCGCGGAAGTAACAGTTGCACCCCTAAGAGATGACATGTTTTTCGGACCAGAACCAGTTACACTTAGCATTTTTGTATGTGTGCGCCGTATGTGTGTTTATCCATGTATCTTAACATGCATGTCTGTGTGTATATGTATGCATATGTATGTATACATGCATGCATGCATGTATGTATGCATGCATGTCTGTATATATATATATATGCATGTATACATTTGCGTGCATATATGTACGTACGTATGTATGTGAGTATGTATATATATATATATATATATATATATATATATGCATGCATATGCGTAGGTGTGTATGTATATATGCATGTAAATATGCATGCATGTAGTGCTTGAAGGATGGGGTACTCCTGGTGCCTGGACCGTCTCATACGTGTGTCGCCGTGGGCCTGTTTTCCGTTCCGCAATCCCACGGCTCAAGTTTTTCAGGGTGAAGTGCCTCCGCAGGGACTCGGACGGGTCCTTCTGGCGGCCCTCACAGGAGCTTGGTTGGCCCCATCGCCCCTCCGTGTCTGGCTTGGCGCGCCGAGTGGTGCTCCCCTGGCGGCGAGCTGCGCCGCCCCTGCTCCGGCGCCGCGCTGGAACAGCAGCTGCCCTGCGATCTGCCCCGACCTCAGCGAGGTCTTGGCGGAGCTCCACGAGCAGCGGCGTGAGCGCGAACGGCTGGCCGCTGGGCGCGCAGAGGCGCTGCAGTCGGGCGTGCCCTGGCACGTTGAGGTGGTGACGGCCATCCTAGGGAACCTGGCCTTCTATGCGCACGTGGTGGCAGGTCTTATCTGGTCCTCTCTCGTCTTTGTTCTCAATGGCTGTCGCTGGTGTCGCCAAACCTGGTCTGCACGTTGGGCAGAAGGTGCTTCTCCTGTACGGGGACGAGCCGAACCTCTGGCACGAGGCGAGCATCCTCCGGAAGAGCTCCGAGACGTGCTACAGGAGGATCCACGGCGAGGGCCCTCCAGTGAACAGTTGGCTCTGGTGGATTCTGACAGTGGACGGCGACGTGTACCCGCAGGATCTCTCCGTGCCCGGGGACCTGCAGGCCCTTCGGCTGCTTGACGCCGGAGGGGAGGTGACTGGAACGATGTATGGGCGAGGCCCCGACGCGGTGTCTCGGTATGGCTTCGGGGCAGGTCGGCGGGAAGGCCCTCTCGATGTGCCTCTCTTTCTCCGTGCCAGGGCTGTGGCCGACGAGGAGGAGCGCAAGGAAGGTGGCCATGGGGACGCTCTCGTGTCGAAGTCGCCTCCTCCCGCTGCGAGTGGGAAGATCTGGCGGATAGCCTTTTCACCAGATCAATCTTTCAGTCGTGGAGCCGAGTATCCGTCTGGAGTCGAGGGCCACCAGTTCACTCTCGTGAAGAAGGGCGATGCTGACGCCATGATGGTGGTTACTCCTGGGGGGGTGCTGCAGTGCTACTCCGCCACCGCCGACTCGATCGACGAGGACGCCGACACCCGGACCCTCCCAGTGGTGTGGCGGAACAACGCCCGCCGCCGTCGCTTTGTGGAGGCCGTCGATCTGATGCAGCATCACGACTGCGGCGACTCCCCTCTAGAGGGGGAGGCTTCAATTCTCTGGTACTTGGAGGAGATCGCTCGAAGTGGAGAGGGTGGTCCCGTCCAGCGCCACTACAACTGGGCCCACCAGTTGAACTCAGGTGGCGATCGCTCGGTGCACGAGCATTTCTGCATCGTGAAGGTTCTCGAGTTGGCGGCCGAGGTCGACCAGCTCAACATCCCCACGCTGGCCTCTCTGGAGGCGCTCGGGAGGCGTGCCATGCTGATCGAGCAGGCGCACCTCAACTCTCCTGGCAGCCCCGACTACACCGGGGCCGACGACTTCATGGGCTGGGGCCCGGGCCGCGGCAGGGCCCTGGTCGCCCCAACTTTGGTCAAGCACGTGGCTGAGAAGGCTCGTGACAAGGCGTCTGTGTATAAGGAGTTGCGCAAGCACAATGAGGAGCTTCGTTTGAGGAAGCCGCCCAAAGGCCCCAAGAAGGAGGGCCAGGGCGGCGATCATTCATGATGAACGGCGATGGCCCCTCCCGCGGCCCGAGGGTGGGGCCGAGATCTAGGGCGCTCCCGGCCGCGCGGCTGGGCGTTCTCGCTGGAGTCGTCGCTGAGGAGCGTGACGTCCTGCGGGAGCTTCTTCCTCTACCGTATGTGCCTCAGGGGCCGGTCGCTGGTCCCACCTCTCCCGGGGAGTTCGGCAGCGAGTCCACGGACGACGTCGGCTCACGGACGAGGTGAATGAGAGCATTTGGGCCCTCAACTGGCTCGTGGGTTCTTCCACCGCCAATGCCAAGTTTTCTTCTCTTGGGCAGCGGGCCGCCGTTGACCACCTGTGCGAGACCATCAAGTCTTTTCGGCCGCCGCCTCAGGCGGTCTCAGACGAGGAAGTCATGCGTGCGCTTCTCGGCAGCAGAGCCCCTTATGGCGGGGACGATGACTTGACAGTGGTTCCCTACGACCGTGCTCTGGTGTCTATCCCCGGTGACGGGCGAGTTCCCGTGCCCCTTGCCGAGGTGTTGCCGCCGGACGCCGCAAAGATGATCGTAGATTTTGACACCCACCTGCTCAAGGACGACAACCAGTGGGGAGCGGAGGTGGAGCGTGGTCTCGAACACATCGGTTCTTACATGGGCCCTCGGCTCCGCTTCAGCCGCCGCAGTTATCTCAACTTCATCGGGGACCTGTTCAGAGGTGGGCTTCTCGCCTGGCGACGGGCCGACCAAGTTCGAGGTGGGATCTCGTTTTTTTTTTTTTTGTGCGAAAGAAGTCGGGCAAGCAGCGCCTCGTCGTCGACTGCAGACGCGTGAACGCCCGCTTCCGAGAGTGTCCCCACGTGCCAATGGGTTCGGGATCATCCTGGGCCGACGTCGTGATGGACACGGACACTGACATGTATCTCTCGCTTAGCGACGTGAAGGACTACTTCTACGCCTGCGGTCTGCCGCCAGGCCTCGAGAGCTTCTTTTGCCTCCCCGACATCACTGGGGAAGAGCTGAAGGTGGTCGCCCAGGGCGACCCCGCCTTTGGGTACTTGTGGGGCTCCACGGCGGTCGCCCCCGCTATGAAGGTGATGCCGATGGGGTGGACTTGGAGTTTCTTCTTCGCGCAGGTCTTGCACGCTCACCAGGTCCACCAGATCAGGCCCTGGTCGCCCGGCGCGGTCGTGCAGGATCGCGTCCCTCCGCCTCCTTTCAGGACGGGGACCGAGCTGGCTCTGCCCTGCTGCGACAATTTCGTTGCGGCTGCCTCCTCTCTTGCACAGGCCGACGCTCTCCGAGAAGATTGTAAGCGCCGGATGACCTCGCTCGGTTTCGAGGTCCACGAGGAGGAGGCTGCCCGCCACTGGGCCGAGTCCTTGGGGTTCGCCATCGACGGACTCACTGGGGAGCATCGCCCTAGCCCTGTCAAGGCGTGGCGCCTCCGCCAGGTCTGTCGTCGCGTGAGCCGCCAGCGGCCCTGGCTTAGCGGTCGGCAGCTGGAGCGGCTCTTGGGACATGCTACTCTCTGTCTTCCGCAGTTGCTACACCTTCGTGCAGTGCCACTACCTCCGACCGCGACGGCTCTGGCGGACCGCCGCCGAGGAGCTCCGTGCCGCCGCTGCTCTGCTGCCCTCTGCGCGGGCCAACATGCGGCGGCCCTGGGCTTCGGAGGTGGAGGTGTTCGACGCCAGTCCTGCCGGCTGCGGGATCATGACGGCGGCCCTGCCAGAGGTGGTGGTCTCTGAGATCGGGAAGGTCGATGAGAGGTGGCGTTGCGCTTTCCAGTGCGAGCAACCTGGCGGGCCTCGTGAGCACGCCCTCCGTTCGGCCCCTCCTGTCGAGGAGTGCTTAAGCAACGTTGAGTCCGTTCTCCCTCGCGACTGGTCTCGGCGACGGCGGCAGCTCGCGCAGGACTTCCCCGAGGTCCCGGCGTCCATCTCCCAGGATTTTGAGTGGCGCGAGTGCGTGGCTGGCCGCTGGAGAGACGAGGGGCATATCATTATGCTTGAGGGGCGCGCGGGGTTGATATCTGTGCGGCGCACCTGCCGGTCGCTGTCCAATCGAGGCAAGCGGCATCTCAAGATAGGTGACAATTTGGGTATGATCTTTGCCTTTGCCAAGGGACGTGCGGACAACTTCGGCTTGCTGATGCTTTGCAGGAAAAATGCCGCGTTCACGGTTGCAATGGACATGACAATTCGATGGCGTTGGGTTCCTTCAGAGATCGATGTTGCTGATGCCGCCTCTCGTCGTTATCTGACTGAGGACCGCCGCAGCCGCGAGCGAGGCCTGGCCCGCCTCAAGCTTCTTCGAGGATCGGGCTTGGGGCCACCCGCGGCAGCTCGCGTGGGTGATGAGACGACTGCTGCCGCCTACACAGGCCAAGCGGTCCCATGGCGAGGCATCTGCTGGTCTCCCACAGGGGCCCGCCGGCAGCCGCCCAGTCAAGGAGCCGCGGGTCTCCCGGGTGCTGCAGGCGCCGCATCGCCAGGCGTGCTCCGCCCCCCGCGACGGCAGCCGGGGGTTGCCGCCTCCGACGCACCGCCGCCTGGCGGGGGCCGCCTCAGCGCGGACGCTACTCGCCAGCGCCGATCGGAGCCGCAAGCTGCAGATCCTGGCGCGGCGGGCGCGGGCGAGGACCCGCCGAGCGGCCGTCGAGGCGGGGGGCCGCGAGATGCAGGAGGAGCTCGAGCTGAAGGGGATCATGGTGAGCCTCCTCGAGATGAAGTCCGTCGGCAAGCAGTCGATCCCCTACTATCTCCAGAAATTCAGGGAGTTCTTGGACTTCGTGGTCGACCACGGGTTCGACCTCCACAAGGACGAGGACGTGGGCGCGGCGTTGGTGCACCTGATGGACCTGTTGTACTTGGATGGGTGGCAGATCGACCAGGGCGAGAAGCTGCCCGCGGCGGTGAAGCTCGGCATCCCGCGCTTCTCCAGAGCAGGGCTGGGCTGGCCTGCCGCGCGCGGCCCGCGCCCTCCGCGGCTTTCGGAAGGCCGCCCCCGTGGCCTGCCGCTTCGGGCTGCCGCGCGCGTGGGTCGTCGCGATCATCGCGGCGATGCTCTGGCGCGGGAGGCTGGAGAGCGCCCGCCGGGTGGTGGTGATGCACGATGCGTACCTGCGCACTGGCGAGGCGACACGGCTCCGGGCCGAGGACTTCGTCCCACCGGTCGGAGACCATCGCGGCCACGAGCGCGGCGTGCTCATCCTCGGCTCCTCGAGCGCCGGGGTCCCCACCAAGACGGGCGTGCTGGACGACGCGGTCACCCTGTCGGACTGGGACTTTCCAACCAGCAAGGTACTGGGGCTTTTGAAGGCCCAGCGGGCCCCGCACGAGCCCCTGTTCGTCACGAAGCCCGCTGCCTTCAGGAAGGACTTCGATCAGGCGTGCCTCGACCTCGGGCTCGACAAGCGGAACCTCACGAGCTACCAGCTCCGCCGCAGCGGCCCGAGCCGAGACGCCCTTCTCGGGCGCCGCACGCTTCCCGACATCATGAAGCGCGGCAGGTGGGCCACCCTCTCTTCGGTGAAGAGGTGCGAGAGGCGCGGAGTGATGCAGAAGGCGCTGGCCAGCAGCCCGAAGGAGCTGCTCGATTTCGCCGCGGCTGTCGAGTCCTCCATCGTGGGGGCGCTCCTTGGACGGCCGTCCCAAGTGGCCAAGCCGCCCCGTGCCTGAAGCGCCGAGTTGCAGCCGAGATTTTCTTCGGCTCAGGGCAGCTCGCCCGCGCTCTCGCTCGGAGCGGAGTTCCCGCTGAGGCCTATGACGTCGCCGATGGCCCCGGTGCTGATCTGTTGCGGCCAGGCGTCGTGAGGCTTCTTCGTGGCAGAATTCGTGCTGGCTCTTTTTGTTTCATGTGGTTCGGTGTGTCGTGCAACACTTTCTCACGTGCCACTGATCGTCCTAATGGGCCGCGCCCTCTCCGCTCAAACACTTATCTGTATGGTTTGCCCAACCTCGATGCAAAGCAGCGTGCACGTGTGGCGAACGCCAACAGATTAGTGCGTGTTGTGTGTAGTCTAGCTCGTGAATGCAACAAATGTCACGTTCCATGGGTCATAGAGAATCCTCGGACCTCCCGCCTGTGGCTTTTAGATGAGATACATATTCTTGAAAGGAAAGCGTCCGCCGTTGTGCTAGATTATTGCATGTATGGGGTGCCCTGGAGAAAGTGCACTCGTTTTGTTGGCACTCTCCCGGGTCTGGAATCGTGGGGGCGCCGATGTACGGGGAGAGTGTGTCGACGCACTGGCTACCGCCGCCAGGCCCTCGAAGGCAAAGACGCCTCAGGTGTTTTCTGGACCAGGCGGGCGGAGCCATATCCCACTTCTCTCTGTAATGCTATCTCCTCCTCTGTCGTCGCCTCCCTCCCTCCTCTCCCTCATTAGAACAGCTTCTGGTGCTGGGGACGGGTTGTGGGCCCTCGCCGTCTGTGTACGTCTCATCGTGACAGTTTCGCTCGGGCCCAGTCTTTAGGCAGGCGATGCTTCTAGACAGCATCTCGAAATGATTCCAGTTTCTCTGGTCTTGGCATAAAAGGAGTGCTTGAAGGATGGGGTACTCCTGGTGCCTGGGCCGTCTCATACGTGTGTCGCCGTGGGCCTGTTTTCCGTTCCGCAATCCCACGGCTCCAGTTTTTCAGGGTCCTCCTGCCTCCTCTCCTCCTCCACTTCCATCTGGGTTGTGGGCCCTCGCCGTCTGTGTACGTCTCATCGTGACAGTTTCGCTCGGGCCCAGTCTTTAGGCAGGTGATGCTTCTAGGTATCATCTCGATATGATTCCAGTTTTTCTGGTCTTGGCATAAAGGATGTATGTATGCATGCATGCACGTATGTATGCATGTATGTAGATATGCATATGCGTATGTATGTTTGTATGTGAATGTATGTATATGTTTATGTATGTATGTATGTTTGTATGCATGTATGTATGTATGTACGTATGTATGCATGCATGTACATATGCATGTATTTATGCATGTATGTATGTATGCGTGCGTGCATGCATGTATGTAGATAGGTCGGTAGGTAGGTAGGTCGGTATATAGGTAGGTCGGTAGGTATGTGTGTGTATGTATGTATGTATGCATGCATGCATGCATGTATGTATGTATGTATGTATGTATGTATGTATGTACGTATGTATGTATGCATGCATGCATGCATGTATGTATGTATGTATGTATGTATGTATGTATGTATGTATGTATGTATGTATGTATGCGTGTATGTCTATTTGTACGTATGTATGCTCAAATACATGTATAAACGTATGCATGCTTTCAACTCCCTCTCTCCATCCCTCTCTCTCCCTCTCCCTCTCTCTCTCCCTCTCTTGGTGGCCTCTCTCCCTGCTCTCTCTCTCTCTCTCTTTCCCCCGACATCCAGCGACGATGTTCTGTTTTTCCTTTCCTACTCCGCGGCCCCAGCCCTCCTACAGGGACAGTTGTCTGTCCAGGACCTCTTTCTCTCATGGCCCCGTGGCCCGGTGCTGGGCCCGGGGCGCCGACATATCGGGGGCAGACGCCGGGATGGAAACAGTCTCAGACCGTTGGAACTTTGGGGCCTCAGGGCCTCTTGTGCTGCAGACGACGACCAATGGAGAGGAAGCACGTTGCAAAATAATGTCCAGATGTGTAAACATCTCTCGAACATGTCTTGAACATGTAAAGCATGCTTTGAGCTGTTCAGCTCACTGATCGGATTGTTAGGGTGTCCATTGTCACGGCATCCGCAACTTTTGTGGGCGAGCATCTGACCCCAGACCGGTTCCGGGGGGCGCGTTCGGGCTAGAATTTTTCGAGGCGGATCCAGCCGTGGCGCCAGGGGAGCCCCCGGAGACCCACAAGTGAAGTCGGGCATGTCCCTCTACAGAAGGATTATTTTAAACATAGTCAAGACAGTCTGGGGGCGTTTTTTTGTTTTGTTTTTTTTTTCTCTCCTATTTTTCAATATTTGGACGAGTTTTTGACTATTTAGCATTTTCCGTCCAAAGTCCGCCTGTGGGAGGACATGCCCGATCTAACCCAACAGGGGCGAAAGAAGGGAGAGTCCGAACCTCGAGGGGGACTCTTGCACACAGGAGACACGAGCCACAAAAGCACAAGAATCACAAATCCATGAGAGTACAAAGTCGAGCCGCGAACGTCGAGCCTCCGACCTCCCCAGACCCCCGACGTCGTGATTTGTTCAAAACGTCGACCCCCAGAGGTCTGGACCCTTCCCCGGGACCGGCCTCTCGCCCCGAGTCGTTTTTTTGGGGGTCCCGAGGCCCGGCGAGGGCCCCCAGAGGCAACACCTGGCGAGGAGCCTTCCGCTGCGATGCTCCCACGGCGCGGGCAGGTCTGGGGTCCCTCCCCCGAGGAGCTCCCCCGAGGAGCTCCTCGGGGGAGGGACATGCTCGCGCTGTGGAAGAATCGCAACGGAAGGTTGGGCCCCTCCCCCGAGGAGCTCCTCTTCCGGGAGCGCGCGCTGCCGCTGAGCGACGTGGACCTCTGGCGGGCGGCGGCGGGCGCGCTGCTCGACGGGTCCGCCCGCCTCGTCGACCGCGCCCGCGCGAGGGCGGGCGCCGGGCGCCGGGCGCCGGCGCCCGCGGCGCTTCCCGTCGCGGTCGTCGTCGTCGTCGTCGTCGTCGTCGTCGTCGTCGTCGTCGTGGTCGTCGTCGTCGTCGTGGTCGTGGTCGTGGTCGTGGTCGTGGTCGTCGTCGTCGTGGTCGTCGTCGTCGTCGTCGTGGTCGTGGTCGTGGTCGTAGTTGTGGTTGTCGGCATCAGCGGAGGGCTCAAGGGGCTGGAAGAAGATGATGATGAGCATGATGATGATGATGATGATGATGATGATGATGATGATGATGATGATGATGATGATGATGATGATGATGATGCTAATGATGATGAGGATGATGATGACGATAATGATGGTAATGATGATGATGATGATGCTGATGATGATGATGATGATGATGCTGAGGAGGAGGATTAGAATGATGATGAGGGTGAATATGGTGCTGATGAGATGAGGATGGGGATGAGGATGATGATGAGGATGAGGATGAGGATGATGATGGTGATGATGATGATGATGCTGCGGCTGATGATGATGATGATGATGCTGATGACGACGATGATGATGTTGATGATGGTGATGATGCTGATGATGACGATGATGACGATGATGATGCTGATGATGATGGTGATGATGATGATGATGCTGGTGATGGTGATGATGCTGATGCTGATGATGACGATGACGATGATGAGGATGATGAGGATGCTGATGCTGATGCTGATGCTGATGCTGCTGCTGCTGATGATGATGATGCTGATGATGATGATCACCATGATCATGCTGATCATGATACTCATGATGACCATGAGGCTTATGTTCACGCTGAATATGTGGAGGAGGGCGAGGATAAGGAGGAGGAGGAGAAGGAGGAAGAAGAGGAGGAGGAGAAGGTGGAGGAGGAGGAGGAGGAGGAGGAGGAGGAGGAGGAGAAGGACGGTTGTCGAGGAGGACGATGAGGAGAACGACGAGAGGTTTTTCGACGGGTGTCCGCATAATTTCTGAGGCTTGAGTTGTTTTGGGATGTTTTGTAGGGCTCCAGAGGTTTTGAAGGAAGAAGGAGTTTGAGGAGGAGGTGGAGGAAGAAGAGGACGGGGGAAAAAGGGGAGGTATGCAGGATGGGGAGATGAAGATGTGGGGGGACAGGAGGTGTAGGAGGACTTTCTTCCTTTCCTCACTCCCCTCGCCCCTTGCCTCCCACACCCCTCCCCCTCCCCCATCTACCTCTCTGTCGCCTTTGTCCTTCCCTCCCTCCCTCCGCCCCCTCCCCTTCGCGTCCCTTCTCTCCTGCACCTCCTCCTCGCCTCCACCGGCATCGAGCTCAGGCACCGCAGGGTGCCCGCAGCTCGCAGGAGCTGCAGGCGCTGACGGTCCTCCTGGCCCTCCTCCTCCTCCTCCTCCTCCTCCTCCTCCTCCTCCTCCTCCTCCTTCTGCTCCTCCTCCTGGTCCTCCTGGTCCTCCTCCTGGTCCTCCTCCTGGTCCTCCTCGTCTCCCGCCCCCTCCTCCTCCTCGTCCTCTTGGCCCTATGGCCGGCCGAGGTCAGCGTCGGTGTTCGCCTGGATGTTCCAGGAGGACCCGCGCCTCTGGGAGTCGTTGGTGCGGTGGGGGGGGATGGTCGCGTCATCGCCGGAGCAGGAGAATGAGCAGGAGCAGGAGGAGGAGCAGGAGCTGGAGGAGGGGGCGGGAGGACCAGGGAGGAATGGGCTAGGGAGGAGGACGCTGCTCCTGACGATGAGGTAGAGTAGGATGCTGTCGATTGGTTGGTTGGGCTGGTGGTGGACCTGGAGCTCTGCTGGGATCGCGGCCCGAGGTGGCAGCGGGCGCGGCAGCGGGGCAGCACAGATTTGCGTGGAAGCGGAAAGAGCGCAGCCTGATCACGACCAACTCTAAAGTGCGATTCGCCGAGCGTGTTTTTACACCTATGGATGGCCCCCATGGGGTCCCAGAATCAAGCAGTGGCGAAGCGTCCTGGCTTGCCTATAGCCCTACCAAACAATGTTCTAAGAACCTTTTGTGGTCTCCACGAAATGTTCTTAGAACATTTCTGGTTGAGGCTGTCTTGCTTTATCA